ACAAACAGTTAAACTAGTGATTTAGAAACATATAAATAAAGATTTGATAAACAGCAAAATAAGATAATTCCAACTCTGTTGAGCATCAAATGTGTTTAATTCAAAGGTTAGCGTGAATAGTTTATAATTACTTGTTAATCACGAAATAAGTCATTCCAAATTGGAATCGAAACTGATGATTCTGACTCTCATTCCAAAAAAATGTCCTATGGCCGAGTCCGATGCTAAAATAAGTCAGCTTTGTCGATCCCTAGCGCGCACACGTGTATGTGCGTTTTATTTTTTCAAGCTTGATGATAAAAACACAAGATAATATCGATATTTTCTTCGTCTATTTATTTTATCATTTTTTCGCGCATTTTTTTTCCAATAAGTTGTACAATAAAAAGGTTCCTTCCGTCTTATGCATATCGGTCGTCACTTCACACTTTAGCTAACCCATGAGTGATTTTTTTTAAGCAACTTCTGTTGTCAAAATTCACGTTTCTAAAATTTGTATTAGCCTGCGTGTAACCCGTGACGGGCTGATGAGTGTTCAACCCGTGGAGTAATCCACAGGTCAAAAAAAAAATATCCAACCCGTGAGACGGACCGGGTTCGATCACAGCTGGGTCAGGTTAGCGGGTTGGATCAAAAAACCTATCATGAACATCTCTGGTCGGTACACATTCTTCCATTATTGGAGAAAATATATACCCAAATCAAATAAGCACGATCGTCAATAGCTGTTTTATATGATTTTTTTTCGCTGTTTGGTAGACGCCGTATTACAAGTGTATTTCATTGTATTGTAAGTGGTCGTATACATGATTTTCAGGCGGTTTGACAATCGTTATCAACTGTGTACGATACGATAAAAATACAGTCGTAATACTGCAATTACCAAACGTCAATTATAGCTATTTACAACCCTAAAGTATATGAAAGAAATCACAGTATTATTGTTTTTGGTCGTCTCGACTACTGTAATCATTATCCTGCATAGCACAATTACTTCTAAATGAATTTTGAAGTGATTGTAAATATTTGAAACATTAAACAATTCTATGTTATCTATCAATAGCACTTCTAAAAAACAACAATTTTTATTTCACCCATAGGATAAACAGATGACGCTAACGACCGGCAAATTTCTTTATTGAAATTCTTTTAAAATTATCAAAATACAGTATAAATCTTTTCAAAATATCTTTTTAATTTTTTTTTAATTTTAGGAATATAATAGAAAAAAACACAGGAGAATAATTAATCTACGAATCGATATGCAAGGAAAACACCTTGTTCTATCTATCAGCATTTTTAATTGTTTTTCAAATTCAAGCATGACTTCTTCACCAGCTACTTTTAATGCAAAACCAAACGTAAATGATCGTTTTTTATTCTTCTGAACATCAAATCTTCAGTAGCAGATCAAGGCTTTTGAGAAAGAGGAGCGATCATAGTCCCAAAACCTGTTTTGAAGTCCATTAGAAATCCTATCGATTTATTTTTTGAGGCATTTTCTACTGAGAAAAATCAAAAACTACTTCTAAAGAAACAATCACCCATCTGTAAATCTTCTTTCACTGTTAATTTTTATTTTCTGACTTCAGGATCATTCAACATCAAATGATGATGTTCAAACTGGTGAAAATGTTTCAACAACATCATCATTATTTCATTTACCTGGAGCATCTGTTCGAGAACAAACCACAGTTGGATCTATTGGAACACCTAATTCAGTTAATCCAACATTTGCAGTATTAAAAGCAACAGCTTTTCAACAAGTTTTAGGACATCCTGTAACTTATGCACGAACATTAATGCAGGTAAGAAAGAAAAAAAGCAAAATCTTATTTTTGTAAACATTTATTCTATGTATTTTTATTCAGATGGGATATGAACCATTACCGGCTTATCGTGGAAAAACTTTATTCGGAAAAGAAACATTATTTTATCCGAATGTTTTTCGATATCGTTAGTTAATTTATTGTTGTTTGAAAAAAAAAGAAGTAGAAAATAATTTTTATTAAATTTAGTTAAATATGTTTATAATATTGATGGTGTGATGGGTTTATATCGTGGATTTGGTTGTACTTTTCTATCAAAAATGGTTTGTTGGTATACAACAACAAAAGTTGATCAGGTAATTATAAAATTGATTTTTAAAAATTAAAATTAATTTGTTTTCTTTTGTTAAAGATTCTTGGACCTGTTGAACTTACAGTAACAACTGATGACAATAAACCAAGATGGGATATTTGTATTAAAAAAACTTTACGAGAAGTACGATGTCAATCATGGGGAATTTTACTATCACATCCATTTCAAGGTAGAATAAAGAAAAAAAAATTTATTTAGTTTTTTTTAAATTTTTATTTATGATTAGTAATGGCAATACGATGTATGGGGCAATTTATTGGTCGAGAAAAAGTTTATTCATCGATAAATATTTTTCAAAACTTTCAAGAAATTTATGATAAACAAGGAATTGGAGGATTTTTTGTGTATGTAAAATTTTTGGAATTATTTTTTGAAATCTTTTTTTTTTTCTATTAAAATAATAGTGGTTTAATTCCTCGTTGGTTACTTGAAATAGCTACTATTATTATATCAAATGTATTAATTCATACGCTTAAAACACAATTACCTACACAAAATGAAATGCTACCATTATATGAATATTTAGCTGCTGTAAGTTTCGTATTCATATTCTTCAAAGTCAATGTAATATAAAAAGAATGATTTGGATATGAATTTAAGGAGCTGTTTTTTTAATATATTCTCAAAAGAATTATGAGAGTTTTGCTTGATTTTTATCACAGAACGATGTATTACTAGGAGAATTAAATCAAGAATTTTTAATATGAAATTTTGTGATCTTAAAAATATCAACATACAATAATTTCTGAAATTCTTCGGATGAGAAAACTTACGTCTTCGCAGAACATTTCAAATAAAAAATTCTCTATTGAATTCACCTAGTAGTACTTCTTTCTATGTTAAAAATCAACAAAACTATCATAACTCTGTAGAAAAAGGCTATTAACTTAGATTCTTTTCCAGTTATTCTAGCTTGAAGATTTTCCTATTTGTATCAAATATGACCTTCAAAATGATGAATCATTTCGAATGATACTTGTATAAGTTCCAACGGATAGTAATGTACTTCCGATTTGTAGAAAAGTTAATCTAAACTATATATAGAAATACATACTAAAGAATCGACTGATATTATAGTATCTTTCTCTCAAAGTTATTGAGTTCGAAGCATTCATTTACTATAATATCTATTTATAGAAATCAATTTTGAGAGTTTTGCACTCCAGATACAACAAATGTTTTCTTAGTTGTTTCCGTTTTCTTCTTGTTACTATTGGATTAATTGATTCTTATCATTGACATGCGTGTGTGTAGAATATATTCAAATTAAGCTGAAAAAGAACGACATACTACACCAATGAATCAATATTATTATCTTAATGAATCATAAAATGTTTGAAAAGATTGATAAAAAAAAAAATAAAACAAAGAATTATGTAGAAAATATGTCATTTTAAACAGAATGGAATTAATCTATCATTTTGAATGCAAAAAAAATGTTAAATATTTGTTTTGTTTAGTTTGTTGCTCAAACTGTTACTTATCCATTAAGTGTTGTAACAACGGTAATGGCCGTTAATCGAAGTGGTCTTCGAGCTGGTATGTTACCCGTATCGCCTGTCTATGCAAATTGGCAAGATGCATATAAACAATTAAGCAAAACTGTATGTCATATATATATATTTTTCTTGAAAATTTATGATTATTAAATTTCGATGTTTCTTTTTTAAGGAACAATTAAAACGAGGTTCCGGCTTTTTTAATCGTGTTGCTATTGGTACATTCGGTCTTCCTGCGCTCGGCACACCAATTCCAAATGCTTAGATTAAATTTTTCTTTTTCTTTTTTTTTTTTTTTTTGTCTATCTCTTTTACATTTATTTTCCATTTAAAAAGGAAAAAAGAAAACTTTAGATGAAATAAATAGAGAAGCAGATAAAACACTTCATTTATGTACGGTCAAATAAATGCTTCTCAGTAGGAAATGAATAAAATTGTCTACTAGCGATGACCGATAGGTCACTATATACATATATATATTTTCCTTTTTTTTCCCTTACTTTATTCTTGTACAGAAAACATTTGACCTTGTGACCTCATTCACATGGAATACAGTCATATATTCAAATATTATACATCAATGAAAAGCTTTTAACCGTTGGTAAGTACGAATATTATCTGATATAGCTATGTACAGTAGGAGTGTTTATTGCAATAACGTTAGGTTTTCCTCTATACATAGAATGATGACGACAGAGTATGGCGTGATGTTTTCTTGTCAATGTCGTACGATACTATCGTGGGTACCTTTTCGCTTTTTTTATCCTGTTCTATAGCGCGTCTTGTTTCACGAATAAATTTACCCATTATGCTTTTGTATCATCTGATTTGTCATTGAAAGATTTTTCTATGATATAATCGGAATACAAAATGATCAGAAGACAGACAAACAGGCAACATATGTCTTGAGTCTAAATGTTTTTTTTTTTATCAAAAATCCTTTTTTTCGAAATTTGTCTCTGAGATATATTCTGTCACTATGCATACAATTTTATCTTTCGCCTCCACAAATCTTCCATTAGAAAATAGATAGCATATTTAGGAAGCATGCAATCAATACATCAGATATCAAAACTTAACGAGAAAAAGAAAAGAAGTCACTATTCGCATTAAAAAAAAAGTGTTAAGATTAAAGAAATAAGTGTTATTTATTTTTTCTTTTTGTCGCTGAAAGTTCGTTATGGGTCATGTTTAAGTGTTTATGTGAAGGTTTAACACCCGGAGTCTTATCTTGCACGTTATGTCCTCCGTAACGTTTCAAAAAATAGAAAAGGAGATAGTGCTTGAGCTCTCTTTTTTTTCTCTATTCCTTCTACACATTCCACCACGTGTGTATCAGTTTAAAAAAAAGACATAAAAATGAGTGAAATACAAATGGTAAGAAATAAAACAATGTTATTATAACATTTTTTTGCTTTTCATTATTAAATAGATTAGAAATAACGAATTTAATATAACAATGTCTAACATTAGTAAAGATAATAATCGAATTGAAATGCAAGATAATTCAATACAAGAAAAAATGAATAAATTTTGGAATTATTATTCGAAAATTTTAATGCGTTTTTCATGGTTAATACTTGTTTTAAGCTTATGTATAACTATTGGGCTTACAATATGTTGTTTTCTTTTTATGGAAATACGTCAATTTGATGAAACAAATTTTTTTATTCAAAATGGTCAAGCTTTAAAAAATATTCAACGAATTCGAACAATATTTGGAAATGATAAAAATTTTCGTGCACATCAACAAATGAGTCTTTATCCAGCTATAGATATTATTATTAAAAGAAAATTACAAACAAATAATGAAAATGTTAATGAAACAAATATGTTAAATAATGAAATTATTGATGAGGTATGACAAAAAAAACAACATATTTCAGATATCTATTGTTTAGTTGACGTTAAAATCTCTATAAAATCATATATTTATATTCTTTACTTTTTAATAAACGAATCAGTTCGTAAAATTGATGCAGCATTAAAATGTAAAAGACAATTTAGCTGCTATTGCGATCCATATATCGATATGAATCATAAATCATCGTTTTGTCCTTTAGTAGTCAAGGTCTTGATTAATCATGTCTACCTCTGAATCACTACAGTAATGAAGTAACGTTCCTATTTTACTACCATAACTCTTTTCATTATTTATTTCTAAATCTTTCTCTCTCTCTCTGTATATCTCTCGGCAAACAGAAAAATTCATAGGACTACTAATGCTTTACTAGCTTTGCATATTGATCAACTACTCGTTCGACATACACATTATTAACATCCTATATATTTATTTTGTTATCTGTTATATCTATGCGAAATATATGCTATGATTAATAGGAAGTACAAAATAAATTTATGAAAAACTACAATAAGAATTATTCGATTTTGTTTTCATAACATAAATTGATATTGAAAGGAATTGATAAAATATATTACGTAGATTATGATACATATTCACTTGATAGAAATATTTCAAAATGTATTTCTTTACAAAAATAATCTTAAACAGTAGTAAAAAATATTTAATTTTTTGAGAAAATGATTTTTATTGTCAATTCTTTGGGAGAAAAATCTAGACTCACCGTTATCGGTTATAACCATGAATCACAGGTGGATTGTTTTATTCTATTCATTTCGAGATATATACCTTCACCATTGTTTTAGTTAATCCTTGAGAAATATAGCAAGGTCATAGTTCATATATTATAATGAGACGTTATTGAGATAAGGTTTGTGATCATATATCAATGTCTGTTACGGTATTAAGAACGGATCCAAATTTTGATCCCCATACTTCAATATTCCTTGCAGATCTTGTTTCATAAAATTTAAATATGATTTTGAATTTGATGCTTAATACTCGCAATTATCAACAGTATTGATTAAAAGAAAATTAGAATATGTTAAGAGAAATTTTCAATGAGAAAAACTAGGTGATTTATAATACAATATGACTATAACTTAACCTTGCTATTTTATTGACGATGAAGATTGAATGAATGGAAAGACACTAAACTAAAGAAGAGTGTGGGTTTGAGAATAATGTTGATAGTATTCTAACCATCCATACCCAAAATATAATTGTTTCAGTCATAAATATCCCCATGGTCTTTAATTGCTAATTCAATATTTTCCCATCATATCGGAANTCTAATAATTTTAAAAGGTGTTCTACCATAAAATAAGAAAAAAAAAAGTTCAAAAGAAAAAAAATCTTATGCCAGGTGTTTCTCTATTTTTCCGTCAAATTTCCGGATGCATATGCTAATCTTATGCTGATACCACTATATTTCAAAGTAAATATGAGAGGTTTCTGTTGATATATAAATTTATTTTCTTTGAAAATGAAATTTTCAAGAAATAAGGCAGAGAACATTATATGCATACTCATTAACGCTTGTCAACATTACTTTCAGTTAGATAATAGAAAGATATTCCTTGTTTATTTTATTTTTTAATTTCTATTTAAGAGAAAAAGCTATTCATGAACAAGCATATAATATAACTGAGGATGTATGAGACTTTTTTTTTTTTTGTCATATCAAATATTATTTTATAACGCCCATGCACAAATAATTTATTTTCTCTCTATTTTCCTATTAACACATTCTTTGTTTTTTTTTCTGCTTTGGTAATAAAGGCATTCTTTTTCTTTTTTAATGCTACAGTTTGAGACATAATCAAACTGCCTGAACCCCGATCATGACAAAAGAAAACAATAAATGATTACCTTTTAAAAACATTTAAAACCATAAATTTATGTTTTTTGAAGGTTTATGATTATTTTTTTATTATCTATTATTATCTTAATTTTTTTTTCTCTAGATAAAAATCTTTTGAATCTAGGAAAGATCTATTTTTTTGTAAAGTTCTTCAAAATGTCACTCCCTTCTCTCGATCTCGTTGGCGAGAGAAGAAAAATAACACTAATGTCAATTGCCACTAACGATCTATGCATCTGCTTACAACTTCTAACTGTGTTCAGAGAATTATGATTATTAAGATGAAGTAGAAAACTTCATGCATAACTTTAAACACGTAAGCAATAATTTTGCTAGTCTAATAAAAAGTGCATTTCTACGCATTTTTCTTCACGTAGGAAGAATAAGTAAATAAAAATTTGAATTTCTTTTTTGTTTTCTTTCTTGTCTTATTATTTTCACTATGTTTAACATGACAATAAGACAAAAAGAGGTCCAATGAAGGAAATACCACGATGTGTCAGTTTGTCATGTCTCGCGTATCATCGTGAAAGACATATATTGATTACGACAATAAAATTTTCTTATTTACTATTTCAACTACGTTGCAATTTATTGCTAGTTGTTTAGAGACAACAAAAATACCGTTCTTTTTTTTTTTTTTTTTAGATAAAATCTCTTACTATATGTCATAAATCATATTTATTTTAATAAACCAACAGAGAAAAGCTTAGAAAACACGCAATGTAAGTATTTAACTAGATCATTCATAGAAGAAAATAATGTGCAGCAGTTGTTCCTACCAACCTCTTTCCAAACTCAATGCAAGAGAGATGTTAGATTTCCTTTTGAATAGTATTTTTTTTTTTTTTGAAATTATTATGATGAACTTTATAACCCTAATTATTCTGAACTTTCTCTTAATATATATATGTATATATTTAGATTAAATGTTTAAGGATTATTTCATTTAAAAATATAAAACACGAAAAAAATGTCCAGTATTAATCTTAAATCCAATAGCACAATGGAATATATTCAGACAGTTCTTATGCAAATATCGATACCATATGTTATTATTGTTTCTTTGGTGGGTATTGTTGGAAATGTTATTACAATAGTTATGTTATCTAAACGATCTCTTACAAAAAATTTTAACAATTGTACATTAATTGCACTTGGTAAATAAATATATTTACAAAGAAAAGAAATATATATTTATTTAATTATTTGTCTTTGTTTCTAATTTTTCTATTTTAGCAATTACTGATCTTATATTTAATTTAGCACTTGTTTCTCGATGTTTAAATGATTTAATGGAACTAAATTCCGATATATTTTGTCGATTATTATCGTTTTTTTCTCATTTAGCTGAATTATTATCAGCTTGTTTTACAGTTCATTTTACAATTCAACGTTTTATTGCTGTAAAATTTCCTTTAAGTGTATTTATTGAAAGAAAAAATCATTTTTTACATTATTTTATTTTAACATTATTTATTTCATTCGGTATTTCTTATTGTTCATTACTAGTAACAAAAACTCATTATGACAATTGCCAAGAAGAATTACATTTAAATTGGTTTCTATCTGATGCATTATCATCATTTGTTATACCATTTACAATAATTGCTATATTAAATTTATTAATTATATTTCATTTAAGAAAAACTTGTCAAAATAATCAACAATTTTCATATATAAAACGATCAAAGAAAAATCTTTTACCATCAAATTCAAAAAGAAAAAGTATAATTTCATTTGATTCAATTTCTCAAGCAAAATTATCTGAAACTACAACAGTACCAATGATTAAGGTATTATTAAAAAATAAAACTATTTATACTTTCAATATACTTTAATTATTACGGAGAAGATTAGATAAATACTCGCTTAGATGTATAATACACAATTAATTCTTATTTATCATAGTTTTTAAAGCATACTATAGATTAAATTATGTATTTTTTTTACCCTAAAATTTACTTATATGTTGTCATTTACTTTATTACCCTTAAAAAAAATAGAAAGTTATGATGGTTATATCGTTCTTCTTGATAAAAATAAAAGATTTTCACTCGGTCACATAATTAGTTCTATTAATAGTTTCTTTGTATCGGATATAAAATAAAATATTCTTAAACACATATTGATCCAGAAAAATAATGACTTTATTCATCCAACATAAAGTTATATGAAAATCATCTAAATCGTTCAAATGTAACTGAACATAAATTGTATAAAGGATATAGTCTACGCTAATAATGCTGAATTCGTTGTAAAATTTTGAATAAAGTATAATCGAACTCATCAAATAATTTTCAGAAGAAAAATTCAATCTTGGAAATTATATTTAGTTGAAATAAAACTCCATAGTTGAAGTACATGACGACCAAATTAATTTGATGAATTATACTTCAAGAAGTTTTTTCTTTTTACTTTTAACGAGATCTTTTTTTTTTGAATAAATCAAGTTAATTCATTAAGAAAACAAAATTTTTTTTCATACATAGCAGAACGGTAACAATATATTTGAAAACTATGCATTATAAAATACTCAACTTAGCATAGTATTTTTTACAAAATTTATACACTTGGATTAAATTCTTCAGAAATCCGATAGACTATTTTTTTACTCTTATATTACAATAGCAATCCAACAAATGTAACGTGTTTATAATGAGTCCGATTTATTAAACGGCAAAACTGAAGATAAGATCTCTGAACAGATGTCCGTAAGATCGAATCTGAAAGTTAAAAAAAAAAAGCCGTTCCTGTCAATATACAAAGAGAAGAATATTCGAAACAAAATGCATTATAATATTGTAACAAAGAGTATCAAATTTTTTGATAATAATAGTTAATTAATGTTGAGTTTTCTGAAAACAAAAGTTTGTGTTAATAATAGCATACAGCTAAAAGAATAATGCTGTAAGGTTTTATTGAAATATTTTTGATTAAAGGAACAACTTGAAATTTCTAAGAAGAAAATATATAATATCCCGAAGGTTACCACTAAAATTTCTCATATTTGAAGTCTCGAGATGCAAACATAGACTAGAACTTTCAATAGAATCTATCAAATGTACTAAATGAGTTCTACTAACCATATAGTTCCACGGATAATATATATAAATTCTGAAAAGGTTAACTTGATTTTTGTAAGAGATTGTCGAGTCATGTATTCATACTCAATGAACACTGATTCTAGTTCATGTCGAGTAAAAGCTTCTAATTTAGGATTGATATTTTCCTACAAAGAAGCTTACTCATTAAGAGCCCGAAGTCATTTTAGTGTCATTAAATTGCATGCTAAATAAGTTCATTGAATTCTATAACATATTATATTTTTGATTCAGATTTCAAATATTCAATTATCAGCAAATGAAGAAACTAAAGATAATTTTCTAACTGTTGGTGTTACAGCTCATCGTACTGCTTCAATACGTTCAACAACACGTTCTCATGCTCAATCACATCGTGTAACACGTATGCTTATTTTAGTATCAACTTGTTTTCTATTACTTAATGCTCCTGCACACATCTGTTCAATTAGTTTAAAAATTTATACAATAAAAAAATCTCAATTAATTAATAATAATATTCAAAAATATATAAATCTACTTAATAATTCTAATGGAACAATATCAACAATAATTGAAAATCCAAATTTCATTTATACAAAATCAATGATTAGTAGAGAAAGTCAATCAATAATTAATTTAAATTTTTTTCATATATTTTATACGATTGTTATTGTAACACTGCACATATCTTATTTATCATATTCAATAAATTTTTTTCTTTATTCATTTTGTGGAATGAAATTTCGTCGTGAACTTATTAGATATTTATCACGTTATAGAAAATATCAACGACAAATACAAACATCACGTATTATAAGTGGTTAAAATTTATTTTGAAAATAAAAATAAAAAACAATGGCTATTCAAATTTACATATTGTCCAAGCTTTTTGTTTGTCAAATAGTTCTTTTTGTTTGTTTCAATAAATAATTTGAATTTAATTGAGAAGTTTTAGATTATTGGGTCGAAAAGTAATAAACAAAATACTGGATAGATTTGAATCGAAACTATTATCTTAGTAAAGAAGTAAAATCTATTGACCCTTCTTTGAAGCAAGCAGAAAAGTACGACAGATATTTCCGTTAGATATATAAGTACAAGATAAATCCTCAACTACCTATTAATATTATACAAAGAATTGAAGACAGACAAGCTTTCTATATTATTTCCTACTTCCAGCAACATGTCACTTTTTCCTGGAAGCATCACTCCAACCTGTGAACATATTTTTCATGTCTGCATTTTACAAACTTAGTATCTCAAATGATTATAAGATGTTTTATACATTCTGAACTTCGAGAAATAATAAATAATCTGCAGATAGGGAACAATCTCTGACTGAATGCATCTATAAGAAATTTGAATACTCGCATCAACATTTCAAATAATATAATACTAAATGACATGTTTCTTTGTAAGAATAGTAATATAAATAGAAAAAATATAATGTTCAATCTTTTGTAATTGATCTATAGAGACTTTTTTGTATGACAAAAATGAAAAACGCTATATTTGGCTGATTTAAATAATAAGTTGATTATATAAAAAATGGCAATTAAATGTCATGTATTTGCTTTGTATCACTGTTCTTACAATATTAAATCTCCTTCCATATTATGTCATTTGAAATGTCAATACGAATACTAAAATTTCATAGAGACGCGCATCCAGTTACAGATTATTTTCTGTCTGTATTAAAATTACTTTTCATTAGAAATATCCTCAGAAGTGTTCGAACCTATAACTTATTACTACTGAAATGTTGCCATTTTACGGTATTTTTTAAGTTGATGCCGTGGTCTCCGTCAGAAACACAAGGAAAGTCATTTTCAAATTTCAACTTGAAACTTTGAATAGAGATAAATCTTAATGAGAATTTAGTTTATTGTGAAGCTTTAAGTCTTGTGATTGGTTCGTTTCCTGAGATAATAAGAACATGAAATTCACTGGTGTATATGAGAAATCTAAAAAAGACAAACTTTTACCTTAATATTATCTTAGGATAAGAACAATGAAATGATCTAAAACAGAGATGTCGATGATTGATGTTTTTGACCTAATTCGTTCGAGAATGAATCCAGTCTGGTTCACGGATTTAATCATTTTTTCTTCGAACGGCGGACGACTTTTCGAGTTGATGAGGCATTCACTTATCACGAACTACCCGCGGGCTATTACAAATTTTATTACAAAAGTATTTGATTACAAAGTCGTTAGTCTTTTGGTTCACGTATTTCTTTTTTTAATTATTTTGTGACATTAAGATTTTTATTATTGAAATCTAATCTTTTATTTCTGAATATATACATAAACATTACAAAATTTCAATTACACTATACAATAATAAATAGTAAAGCAAAAGTAATAGCATATGTTCACCTATACAATGATACTACACTAGAATAAAATTGATGATAGATGCACAAAAAACAAAAATCGAAAAATAACTTGATTACAGATTTTTCATTCCCATTTTTTACATTGAATCAACTAATAACATATCATTGAATAAACTTGGTATTAGAGAAGATTTACACATCACGCTTACATCGAAAGCATATTTATATGTATATTCTTCAAAGAAAGTCGATAAATGACTAGAACTGAAATATAGTCAGAATAAAAAAATGATAGAAAGAATCTAGGCTGTGAAGAACGAAGGAATGGCCTGAGTAGTGAATATAACAATATGAAAAACGGAAGAATTAAGGATTAAAAGCAAAATTTATAAACGAATTGAACTCTGGTAATAAACAAATGATTCGAAAGTTTTTAGACAATATGTTTATTCACTGTGGGTCCACTAGAAAGTATTTCCGACGAATCAAAAGCTATGATTTAGTGCTCTTGTCGAATATAGGCTTAGAAATATAATGTCTATTTTTGTTTCAGAGTTGTCGATTTTTCAAAAAAAGATGTATTTAGGAAAAACGGAAAATTGAGGTGTCTTGTCAAAAGACAAAACAAAAACTTCAGATAGTGCGTTTGTAGAATAGCTTCTGATCTACATGTTGATATATAGATAAAGATTCCATCCTTTTATTTCAAACCACAATAATAAAAATGAAAAATTTGTTCTTCCTAACTAATTTTTTAGAGTTTTCTAAAATTATTTTTCTATTTTCGAACAAAAAATGAAACAAAATTTCTAAGCCCACATTCAATAAGAGTACAAAATCATAGTTTTTAATTCGTTGAACATACTTTCTAGTGACTCAAAAATGAACTGTCAGTTTTGTCTAAAAACTTTCCAATCACCTGTTAGTATGTCACAATTATATAGATATTTTCTGTGAAGAAAGAATATTTAGATAAAGTTATTTAATTTTTAAATAATTTCTATTATCAGTTAAACATATTAATAAAATTTACTTAGACTATTATTAAATACAATTGATTGTTTTTTCGATGAAAAAAATATTGAATTATCATCTTAAGAATATTTTGTATAGAACCTTTTTGAATCACTGGTGATTTAAACAAAGTCTCAGTTACTGAGAATAAGCCTTTATCTTACATTCTTGATATTGAAAAGAATATTGGAATTGTTGAAGAAGTTTTAGAAGGTGAATAAACTTTGAACATTCGTCACAATCCAATCATTATATTTAACTTCATTTGTTGATTTTCACCTATTGTTGAATACAATGCCAGCAAGAAACATAAGTTACAAACATAATCAAGTTGTTATTCTTGATTTTCAAACAAATTTCTCAACATAACTCAAATATTTTTTTAAAAACTTTCATCATGATTGATAATATATATATAGTAAATAAAAATGCTTAGAATAGTATATTAATAAGAGTTGAGAAATAAATCAGACAAAGTTCGAACCTTAAATTACATACACATTGTTCTCTATGTACAAATTTCAGAAACATTTTTCGTCTTCAAAGGTTTGATAATAAAATAACGAAATTAATCAATTACTATTAAAGAAATTTTCTAATTGAAAACATTAAAAAGCACAAAATTTATAATAATTGTAATCAATAAATGTTTACATGAATACGTGTCGTTCAAAATGATGAATATTTCCATGCACTTGCCAATGAAAAGCGTCAAATTAATAGCTTCTCTACTTTATAGACGTTTAGACTATAAAATAAGTTTAATATTCATCGTGATTTAATAACGATTTCGATATTGTTCTTTTATTTAATATTGCTGCTTGAATGTAATAATAGAATGAGAATAGTGATCGGAGAAAGTACGTAAAACGTTTGTCAAGTAAACGGTAAATTGAAGAATTTTCTGCATATATTGATTTAGACTATAGGTGACAGGAAACAATTTAACAACACGTTTTTTTCTCCTACTACTATTTTCATTTTTTTCCTTCTTGTAAGAATGTTTATAATTAAATATATATATATATATTGACAAGAAAAAATAAAATAAAATAAATCTGGCTAATACAAATGGCAGGCAATAGAAATCGATGAAGATCATTTGATTAATCTCATGTATGAATATTTAATTGGAATTTAAATACTTATTATATATATATATATTTAATCATAGAATTGATTTAAACATTTCTATATCATCATTTCTCGTATTATATTATATTTCAAATATTTATATCTATATTATAAATGTTATTATTGTTTATTCTTATTATAATTATTCGAATACCATCATCATCAGATGCAGCAGTATTATTTTTTCATAGAAAATTTGAACAAAAATCACGTTTTCATTCTAATCAACAAGAAGATAATGTTCCATCTATGCCAGGAACTGTTTGGACACATTTTCAATGTGATTCAAAAATAAGTCCTTTTATAGGTGTTGGTTTTGGTTGTTATTGTCCAGGTGCATGGTGTTCAAATAATAATCAATGTTGTTCACAAATGTGCTATAAAAAAACTTGTTATTGATTTTTCTTTCTTTAATTAGAATGCATATTCCAAATTAGAATACTCGTTTTTATATGCTCATCGTTCTTCTTTAATATCTTTGTAGAACAATGAATAAATTAGCTCATGTTTACTGATTGAGTAAGTATATGTTTTGTTTATCAATTGATGAAGGAATTTTTTTTGCAAAAAAATAATCGAATTATGAGTAATAAAATAAAGTTAGTTGATCGCGTTCTAAATAAGTATAATATCTACAATAAGAACACTAATACAAAGGTTGTACCAAATTAGAACGGATCAGCGTAACTATAAATAGAACAGTACTGTTCTATATATTTCCACCGATCCGTTCTAATTTGGTGCAACCTTTTCATTAGTGTTCTTATTGCGAATATGATACTTATTTAGAACGCGATCTACGAACTTTATTTTAGTAATCATAACTCGATTACTTTTTGATCTTTTTAAAAAATTCTTCGATCAATGGATAGACAAGACATATACGTACTCAGTCATTAAATTTGAGTTCATTTGTTCACTGTTTTGGTAAGATATTCAAAAGAAAGCATGAGCATATAAAAAGCACGTTCTAATTAGGAATATGCACTCTAATGGAATTTAGTTTTTAAATTATTAATAAATTAGAAAATTCTGTTATTTACATATTTGAAAAGAAGAATTCAATATTTATTTGCTAGCATATATTAACATGTATCAACAGAAAGAACTTAACCATTAAAAATGAAACATTATTATCAATTGTAAAGATATTTTTTGTATGTATTTTATCATGAATATGAAAATGCAATGATACAATTAATTGATAATATTTCAACATCAGCTTATTTCTAAATACATTCATTTTGTATAAATTTCATCTTAAGTATCATCAAAATCGCCTATGTTTGGTCGATTAAACGAAGATTTTTCTGCGAAAAGAAAAAGACGGAACTTCGTTTGAATTTGGTCACGATCACGATCTTCATATGATTGTGACCACTTTGCAAATTCCTATTTGTGATACGTTAACATTCTTCGAGTACAATGATATGATCTGTTCTATTTTTCTTCAGTAGCGTAAGATGGTATTTGTAAGTAAGAAGTAACAACAGAAGCATACAGAACGAATCTAACTATGCTGAATCAAGTTTGAACTTGCGCTCCATATAGAGTATCAATAAAAGCAGTCTGGTCTCATCTTCTTTTAAACTTTAGAACTGTTAAAAGTTGAGTCATGTTTTATATCTGTAAAAGTATGGATTCTAATTATGAGTTCATATGAATAAATCTCAGTCTATCCTATACGAATTCCACAGTATTTAATCTATCACTATTATAACTTATTAAACTGTCTCGATAGATGTCGCCGATGTATAGTTCTTTCGTTTAGACATGAAATATTAATTCATATATTCTTTTTTTCTCAATTAAATAAACATAAATTTAATCACTGATCACCTTATTCACTCTCAATGCTTCTATTTGCTTATTTGCAAATAATCTGATTGGCTAATATACATATCATCAAGATATGTGTCATAATCTCTGAATCATTCTGAATTTCTACTCATTCATTCTCAAAATAAATATTGTTTTGAAACAAAACCTTCCGTACATTGTTATTTATTTATTCATAGAAATTTATTTTCAGATAAACTATGACTTATAATGCAAGTATTACCCAAGATCCTTCATCAAATTTTCGTGATCCTTTAATTTTTTATGATCCTGATTTAACAACTGGAAATACACAAGCTACAGATTTTGCGTTTGATGATTTAACATTACCATCTCAACAAAATCATTTACAATTAATTGATGCAAATACTAATTTTTCAGTAGATGATTTGGATGGAACAAATAATAATAATAATAAAACGAGTTTAATTCAACAACGTGATTTACCATTTGAAGATGAAGAAGAAGGATTTTATGAAAGAGATTTACCAAAACATGCTTGCGCGTAAGATATTTTATTAATAGATTTCGAATAGAATTTCACGTAAGAGATTTAACCAGATATTTTTTATCGAACTATTTAATTCGATGAATCATAAAATGTAACAGTCAATAAATTGTACGTTTTTTCTATATTGACTGAATTAATCATAAGCATGTTTTTATCTTAATCCATGCATGAATAAAAAATAAAGATAAAAGAAAGAGTTTGCTTTTATTTCAAGATAAAGTTTTCTTATGTAACTGATTTTGTAATCACATAAATTTATTTACTGGAAATGGCAATTTAATTAGCTGTAATTTCACGTTTTTATAGACCGATTAGACATATGCTGAGCCTGAACCTGAATTTCAAGGTTAGCTATAATAGATTTATGCATAATGAAATACGTGATTCAAAACGTGAAGGTCAGAAAGCATCTTAAAAGAAAGTTAAAAATATTCAGAAATACACGAACACTGAATAAAAGTTCAAATTTGGTGCATTACTAAGTAAAGGATCTATATATTACGTTATTTATTACCTACTCTAAGAGAAAAGTCAATATGATATTTTATCGTTCATTCATCAATCTTTCTTATGTATTGAATTAAAGATTTCTACTAGAGTCTTTCTCATTTTAGTTATTGTGGAATTCATGACCCAGCAGCAGTTGTTATGTGTAATCAAACAAAAAAATGGTTTTGTAATGGACGTGGAAATACATCGGGAAGGTAGAATGAAAACAATTGAATTATAAGTTTTTATTTTTTCTTAAATTATTTTTAAGCCATATTGTTAATCATCTAGTTCGTGCTAGATGTAAAGAAGTAACATTACATAAAGATGGTCCATTAGGTGAAACACAATTAGAATGTTATAATTGTGGTTGTCGTAATGCATTTTTACTGGGTTTTATACCAGCAAAAGCTGATAGTGTTGTCGTTTTACTTTGTCGACAACCATGTGCAAGTCAAAGTGCACTGAAAGATATGAATTGGTAAGAGAAAGAAAAACAATTAAAGAATTATTTTAGTTAAAAAAATTTTTTATTTAAAATAAATCAGGGACCCCAGTCAATGGCAACCATTAATTCAAGATCGATGTTTTTTAACATGGCTTGTAAAAATTCCATCTGAACAAGAACAATTACGTGCACGACAAATAACAGCCCAAATGATTAATCGTTTAGAAGAACTTTGGAAAGAAAATCCTGATGCAACAATAACTGATCTTGACAAACCAGGCATTGATGAAGAACCACAACAATGTAGTTTAAGATATGAAGATGCTTATCAATATCAAAATATATTTGGTCCATTAGTTAAAATGGAAGCTGATGATGATAGAAAAATAAAAGAATCACAAACACAAGAAAATATTTCTGTTCGATGGGATATGGGTTTAAATAAAAAACGTTTAGCTTATTTTTGTTTACCAAAAGCCAATGAAGGTAAAAACTTGTCAGTGTAGCTCCTTGAACACTGAAATGTGGGACTCACATGTGTTATTCTTTAGCTTTATTATACTAATACAAAATGAAAAATCTTAAATAGACTATAATTGTTCTTCAAAGACAATAGATCGCTAGGGAAATCATCTGTTGCGTTTCTGTATTTTGAACAGAATTTTTTTTACCGGAGATCTATCTTCTGTTTGCATTTTCGTAGATCTGTTTTGCTTAATTTAACAATTATTATTATTTTAATCATTGATTTAACTGACAAATAAGCCTGTTGTACATATCCATTATATCGAAACATTTCAACCATTTAAATTTCGAGGAAGGCTTATAGTTTATATCAAAAGGAGTCTAATGTCTGTTGTCCTCGACTACTATAAAGCTGTTCATAAACATACTATCAACGACAAAAGGCTTGTGAATGGTATTTTTGATGGATAATTTCAGAGGTGGTCACCCCCAATAAACATAAGATTCTTGGTCAATAAATCATGGTGCTAGGATCAGAATATTAAAAACGTCCGGCTTTCCTACTTGCTGCTGAGTGTTAGTTGACATTTTCGAATATTTTGAACTAAGCATCATAACCTATTGAGTAAAATTAAATATCTTTTTTTACCAAAATAATCAGCACAACGAGCTCTACAGACGAAAAAGTCTTTTGGAAACTTTGTTTTTTTTGCGGTTGACTATTCATATAATAATCCATTAGAAATATAGTTGACAAGTACTTTGTTGTTGGCAGATAGGTGTTAGTGCGAGATGGATTAGTCCTAGCTCCGCTACTTTTTACGTCGCGTCTAGGAAAATGTCGAGCTGTCGTTAGAAAACTGCCGGCTAAATTTTTAGCTTCTTTCACTTTGAAAAACATAATGTGAGTTCCATAAAAAAAAACATCTGTAAATTGAAAAATTTTTACAAGAAAAAAAATATTTTATTTTCTAGAAATGAGATTAATGCCAGGTGATGAATTACGTTTAAGATATGTTGGCGATCAAATGAAATCAAATTGGGCTGGTGTTGGACATGTTGTTAAAGTTCCAAATAGTAAAAACTTGAAAAAAAAACTCTTTATAAAAATTAGAAAATATTTGTTTAGATTATGGAGAAGAAGTTGGAATTGAATTAAAAATAAGTCAAGGTGCACCTATTGAATATAGTTCAAATTTTGTTGTAGAATTTGTTTGGAAATCAACTTCATTTGATCGGTAAAATTTCTTTTTTTTTTCTTACAACTAAAAATAAATTCTTTTCTTTTTAAATTAGAATGCAAGCTGCATTAAAAACATTTGCTGTCGATGAAAGTAGTGTTTCAGCTTATTTATATCATCGTTTATTAGGTCATGAAGTTGAAGATTTAGTTATGAAAGTAACATTACCAAAACGTTTCTCTGCACCGGGTTTACCTGAATTAAATCATTCACAAGTTTATGCAGTTAAAACTGTTCTTCAACGTCCATTAAGTCTTATTCAAGGTCCACCTGGAACAGGAAAAACTGTAACATCAGCAACTATTGTTTATCATCTTGTTAAACAAAATCAAGGACAAGTACTTGTATGTGCACCGAGTAATATTGCTGTTGATCAATTAACAGAAAAAATTCATAAAACAGGCTTAAAAGTTGTTCGTTTATGTGCTAAAAGTCGTGAAGCATTAGATTCACCTGTTTCATTTTTAGCATTACATAATCAAGTACGAAATCTTGAAAGGTAAATTTCTTTTGTTACACAAAAGCAAAAAACAAAATAATTGATTTTTTAATATTGAATTTTAGTGAACCAGAATTAAAAAAATTACAACAATTAAAAGATGAAACAGGTGAATTATCATCAGCTGATGAAAAACGTTATCGAGCATTAAAACGTAAATGTGAAAGTGATTTACTTCGTAATGCTGATGTTATTTGTTGTACATGCGTTGGATCTGGTGATCCACGTTTATCACATGGTTATCAATTTCGTTCAATACTTATTGATGAATCAACACAAGCAACTGAACCAGAATGTATGGTTCCAGTTGTACTTGGTGCTCGACAACTTATTTTAGTTGGTGATCATTGTCAATTAGGACCTGTTGTTATGAGTAAAAAAGCAGCTAAAGCTGGTCTTAGTCAATCATTATTTGAACGTCTTGTTGTACTTGGAATTCGTCCTATTCGATTACAAGTACAATATCGAATGCATCCAGCATTATCAGCATTTCCATCAAATATTTTTTATGAAGGTTTGAACTTGTTGTTTATTGAAAGAGTTTAATCAGTTGTGTCATATATTGAGCATGAACGTGAATGTTAAATAGGCTTTGAAAGGATAAGTCTAGTTGTTTAAATGAATTTTTAAGAAGGAAGTTTTAATAGCCGCTCTGATATCGTTAATTTTTGGGATATATGATCGGAGAGATTATCAAGGTTATAAAGTTTACTACAATTAGAGGCAACTTTCGTTCTTACTTATCGGAACTTAAAAACTTCAATTCCTAAATAAAATCGTGATTTCTTAGATTTTCTCTTTCGGAGTGGCAATTTAAGAGTTCGAACGAGTGAACACGTATTTTCGAGAGGGGCACTGCTCTTTCAGCCTTCATACTGAATATATCTCACATGTAATTAGGAAATTATATCTGAAGATTTATGCAAATATTTCGTTACAATAGAAGATTCATATTGAAAGAATGACGCATATTTCCATCAAAAAATAAAAAATGACTGCAGTCAATATTATTTCTATGTTTGTAAAACTCGAATAATCTTTTTTCATATTTTCAAAATCGTTTTGGTTTTTTTGGACAACAAAAAAAAACTTTAAAAAATTGAAACTATGAAAATAAATAGAACACTAAAAGAACAAATTGCTTAACACTGAACTGATACAAATAGTCGTTCATAATAGCTATTGTTCAATACTTCGAATTTCGAAATTCATTGCAATATTGAGACATCGGTTCCATCAAAATATGCCTTTTTCTGTAACGGTATGTTCCAATACTTCAATGAGCATTAGTACTAATGTACATCAACAATATTGAGTCGATTGTCTGTCAAGTGAAGCTGCACATTCTTACAAAGAACATTTTCTTCTACTTATTCGAAAAAGAAAAAACACTTCAGATTTTTCATATCGATTTTACTCTCGCTGATGTTTTTTCACATATTAAAATTTTTTATCATTTGAATAGATATGAATCATATCTGTTTTATCATATATATATATATATTACCTATTTTTTGTTTTGTTTTTAGGTTCACTTCAAAATGGTGTTACATCTGTTGAACGTACAATAAAAGCCTTAGATTTTCCATGGATTCAATCGGATAAACCAATGTTTTTTCATTGTTCATTAGGTCAAGAAGAAATATCTAGTAGTGGTACATCATATCTTAATCGAACAGAAGCAAGTATGGTTGAAAAAACTGCTACACGTTTACTTAAAGCTGGTATAAAACCTGAACAAATTGGTATAATAACACCATATGAAGGACAACGTGCTTTTATTGTTCAACATATGCAATATAGTGGTTCATTAAATGAAAAACTTTATCAAGAAATTGAAGTTGCTAGTGTTGATGCATTTCAAGGACGTGAAAAAGATTTTATTATATTATCATGTGTACGTGCTAATGAACATCAAGGTANGATGCATTGTTTATATCGAAGTTGAAATCTTTCATATTTTGATGTCCACACATTCTAGGATGACTCAAATGTCTAATTCACTTTTTGAAGTACACATAACTCTCGGCTTTAAATCCGAGGTTTCCACATTTATTTGAATTGTCAGCAAGAATTCATGTAATGATCACGGGTTGCCCGCATACATTATGGATAAACTGTGATTGTTAATTTCGTGGAGGAGGAAGGAGTCGAACTTAAATAATTTGAACACCTAAAATATGAAAGATTTCAACTTCGATATAAACAATGCATCGTTTCTAAGATACCAAGTTCTCATTGATGCAGTTCTCCGACTTGAACCAAATGACTTTGCCAATGAAGAGCTTATCGAATTATGTCGATCGAAATACTCCAGTAACAGAAACAAATTAAATCAAATAGATGATTTCGAACAGAACTATCGAAATGAAGATGCCATTTTGTGGTACAGTCGTGATGGATTTCTCTTTCGGATTCTGAATGAAGCTCTTCGACAGGAGAACTACGATACAATTATCAAACTACGGTTTTTCATCTATGATTTCCACAATCAGCTGGCTAAATTGCAAGCTGACTACCTTCGATCACTATCTCATGATCAGCCGAATCTTCTACTTTATCGAGGGCAAATAATGCCTTACACAGAACCTGAACGTCTGCAACAATATCAATGCAGTCTTATTTTCATGAATACCTTCCTCTCTACAACTAACAACCATCAAGCTGCTCTGTTCTTCGCCGGTGAAGGTACTGCAGACCTCGACAAAGGATACGTGTCTGCAGTTTTCGAAATATCGGTAGATACTTGTTTGTCCCTCAATATCCCTTTCGCACGAATAGAATACCAGAGTATTTATCGAGATGAAGAAGAAATTTTTTTTTCGATGGCAGCCGTCTTTCGCATTCAGAGTATCGAAAAACGTTTCACCAATCTATGGTACATAAAGTTGATACTTGATAGAAATATAGATGAAGAACAATGGCAATTGCTAACTGCTCAGTTGAATTTTTAGCTGACGGTTTTTCAACTTAGTTATATGCAAACACTGACAAAAAACAATTCACATCATTGGAAAAATATACGTTTTCTTGGTACTTTTGTACATCATTAAAGTTTACGACCGCAAATACAAAATCTCACTAAGGTTCCATTATCTGATAAGTTTCGTATAAAATCCCTTCAAATTTTGCAGTCGAACAGATTTCATAATACAGATTTAAATACGTATATGGCTATAAGAAAGCTTCGCATTAAAATGTTCTCTTTTCGTACTTCATTTATAATTATGGACAGATGTTCATCGAACACTAAGTCGGCTAATATGCTTCCATCCGTCTGTATATCAATTTCTCTCATTTGCTCTGCAACTGATTTCGAATATTTCATTACTGATGTTAGGCCTGATAGTTTTCTAATGAGAAACTATTTTTAAAGATCTTATTATAGAGTGCGGGTGGGAATATGAGTATGCGTTGGTAAAATTATCGGCGAAGAGAAGATCCACACCTGTACCTTCGCACTACAGACTTCCCATAGTGGAATTTGTTCTTATTTCATTTTTCTTATTCTTCCCTTTTACGTATCAGGAAGAAATTTCTCCTATAAATATTAATTAATAATTTTCTTTAAATTTCTAATAATGTTAATAGATTTTTTCAAAAATAAAACTATCACTTTAGCTAAAACTATATGATAAAGAAATTCGATTGTTAGCAACTAGGAAATAATAATTTTTAGTCAGGATAATACGATAAATGCTTTAATGTGAAGAATTTAAAATGAAAAATGCATATTTGATTTAATCATGTACAAGAGTTGTTTCCTTCTTCGTTCGAGTATCTTCATTTCGTCGTTTGTATGAGACTCGCACGAATGCAACCATGACAATAGATACTACATTACTGATGACAACGATTAAATTCATTAATTTGTATCGTCCAGTAGTACTAAAAAGGAGAATAACAGCAGCAATATTCATCAATTGTACGAGAACCGAGGTCGAAAGAGATTCTGGCAGAGGAAACATAATTTCTGTCAAGCTTTCATAAATTAATGGCAATGCAGCTCCTCTACAAAAACCGGCAAGAATAAGAGCAAGTCCAATAGTGATTTGGGTTGATGCAAGAATTGGCACATTATAAAAAACTGTGCGAACAGATAGTTGAAACCAAATAAGTGAGAGTAAACAGCCTATCAATGCCAATAGAATAAATGTCTTTAGTGAACGTTGAAATCGGGGTATATCGGCCAGAAAACTCATGCAAAGGCCACCAACAATAGCTGCCAGAGATGATCCAAAGCTGAGCCAGCCTAGTAGAAATGTAGACTAGTAATCAAACGATGTTTAAGCCTAAAACTAGTATTGCTACATTATTCTTTAATCGATGTACAACCCTAGCGAAGAGGGAGAACAGATGACTATAGTTAGAATAATAGCTGAATTTAATTCCATCTACATATTTCGAAGACTTTCGAATAATAAGCTTAATTCTATCAAAGTTTTAATACTTTTCACTTTATTCTCATAGTTTTTACGAATTTTGTGAAATACTATGGAAAATGATTGTTGAAGTATATAATGAGAAAAAATTAATCAAGTTTGTCCTGGCTTGATCCATAGATCGTGATAAACATTTCGCCATACTGTGCTCCTTTTATTAAACCCGTGGTGATTAGGTCGAGTGATTTTTTTCCAAAGAATTCGAATTACAAGATATTGTATAGAATTTTCGGATAAAATCGGACCCGATCTTCATCCTTCCGTGTTATTCTATAGCCTTTTTATATATTCCGAAATTTGCATGCTTTTACTTTCTAAATTTCTTTATTATCTAAAGTCTTACAAAGTCTCAAAATCGAGTTTGATCGAGAAAAGTTATCAGTATAATCCATACGAGATTAATATGTGAAAAACAATGGATCCTCTTTAAGTGTACAATCAGATCCTTGCTATTTTTTGTCACGATCTATGACAAGATCAAAGGAGTACAGCTTGCCGAAGTTTTTGTCATGATCTGCATGATGAGCCTCGAATGCTCACTGTTTTTTGCTGAACAGTTCAACATTCTTGTCCTATCTTTTTCACAAAGTAGGATTTAGAGGTGTACATGCTTAGAAAATATTCTTCTCAGCCAAGAAAAAATACCAAACATCTCACTCTTAATCGTCTATTCAATTTGAAAAGACATCTTCACATAAATCCATGCATATCAAGATAAAGTAAACCTAGAAAAAGAAACCGACGAAACTTACCAGCCTGTTTTTCAGAATAATTCTCAAAAGCGAGAATTGTAGAAAATAATCCTGTCCACAGTCCAAAAGTTCCTGTCATCAGGCCTCCAACAGTTACAAGTAGAACAAATGACCGGTTAGTAGCACATTGTTGAAGACCTTTTATGTAAGCTTTCAAGCCTGAATCGGTGTTATTCTCTTTTCCACCCATGAGTAACTCAGCCGCAGCTGATGGAGCTGTTGGTGGTTCAGCAGGAAAATATATGAGAGCGGGAATGGCAACTAAAAGTGCTAAAGCGAAATGAAAGTATAACAGGTAAGGTATATTCGTAGGACGGGCGACAATTGATGGATTGATAAGAAAACTTATAGTTGCACCGAAGGTGTTTACCATGATAGCGACTGTGGTCGCACGTGTTCTCTCATTGGGACTAAACCAAAGACATGACAATTGAGAAACGGGCGCCATTACTAAAGGACCACAAGCAGCATTAAGAATCTGGCCAACATGAAGAAAGAGAACAGAGATAGTTCTAAATTGCGGATGGGACGGAGAGATAAAGATCAAAGGTATGATACGAACAAGAGTGGCCACAATGGAGATGATTGTTGTAATGATCATAATAAGTCGAAAACCATTTTTTCTGTTGAGGAGAAGATAGGCAAGTGGAAGACAAGGAATAAATACGATTGGCCCCCAATTCAGAAGATAATCGACAGTTGATGATGAAATTCCATAAAAAATTTGAGTGCTTGGTGAAATAGGAGAGAATGTGATCCAAAAAGCACATTGATTAAAAGAAAGAAACGAAAAAATAGCAAGAACATAAAATCGACGACGATAAAGTGTATAAATCTGGGTATTTGGATCGCGTGCAACAATATTATAAACTGCATTCATTTTGGTACCAATAAATGAGATAAAAATGTGTTCAATAAATAGCACTGAATGAAAACATACATGAATTGTGAAATATAAAAGAAAGGTAGGTACGTGCCTTTTTACTATGTGAGAGAATGGTTTGATATGAATATATCTTCATTCATTGTGGTAACACATACGAAAAGACCTGATAAGAAAAGAAAAATAAATAAATACTCTGCAAATATCACTCTCAACGCATATCTTTGAAAAATGAAGAGAAATACAAGAAAATTCTATTTGTCAAGTAAAAACAATTTATATAAATTGTTTTCAATCTTATTTATAATAAGACTAAATCGATTAAAGGGACGCATCACCATGCAAGATTTTATGTATTTGCTGTTCTCTAAGAAAACTATAGAGTACTGATATCTTCAATGTATCGATAGTATGGACAGATCAATTAGAGGTCCGGAGCAGGTACTTTGCTTATCTCAGTCACCATGCCAGTAGAACTACTTAAAAGTAGCTGAACTTTAAGATATGTGAGCGAGGGTATGGTTGTGTGAGACTCTTAGTGTTGCTGTGAATCTTCTACTCGTCCATACCCATACCCTTTTTCTCATGGAAGCAACGATTTTCATAATGGCAATTGAGAAAGAAATCAAGATTTCACTGTTTTGACTTTGTTTTATACAGACGACTTAATGGTAATGTGTGACGAAGCTAAAGATTTGAAAAAGTTTTATAAAGTCTTGTGAGAAAATCATGCAATAAGTTGGCTTAACTACGAGCATAAATAAAACATGGGTGATGACTTTACAATAATTCTAGGAAGATCAAGATCATAAAGTATTGAAAAATCAACAAGTGGACTATCCTGTGATAGATACAATTATTATTGAAAATCAAAAGATCGAAACTGTTGTTCATTCACTTATTTGGGATGTAATGTAACCAGAGATCAAGAAGCAGAAAAAGAACTACGCAGAAACACGATTAACGAGAACTATCATATTGTTCAATATGCTACGGTACGCAACACAGTACAGAAAATCTGTTTCAATCTTGGACCTATGTACTTTCAGTGTTGTTATATGGAAGTGAAATACGATCATTTACGATAACTCAAGAACGAAGAAATGGAAGTTAGAAACAGGTGAAAGAAAAAAATGTTGAACTTCATTGAAATACTTGACATTCAGAATTGGACAAGATTAACGCAAGAAAGAGATCGATCGCGAAAAATAGTTAATGTTAATGTATATACGAAACCTGCACATTAAAATACTAAAGAAACTGTATATGAGTATAAACAACGAGTAGACGAATGAAGGAAAAGAAATGACAACAGCTTATGAAATGATATGCTTTAGAGTTACAGAAATGTTAATGAAAGATGACCACAATCAATACAAGTATCCTGAATGTAGGAAGATATTTAAACTACAGAAAATCACGAATTACGTGAAAGCATGTGTCAAAGCTAAAGATTGGCTTAACAAGAGCCAAATTAAATAATGAAGGAGTAATTTAATTGTGAAATAGCTATTGTAAGTAGGACTTGGAACCAAATGATACACATAATCTAAACTAGCCAACAGAGAGTGATAGACTGGTTAATCTATGTAATGAAAATAAGAGATGTGCTGATGTTCTCATTCGTTACTATCGCAATGTATATTTTATTATTCTGATATGCCTAACAGGTTGTCGTGATCATTCATCACATACTTTTGTTCATGTACCATATATCTATTTGACAGGAGCATTTCTATTTACTACAATGTGTTGATAAATATCAAAATGTAAAGAAATTCATACAATATTTATGTTTTGATGATGGCAAAAATTAGAAAATGTTTTCAATTAATCAACAAAAAGATTTAATATATTTATTATTATCAGTTCAAAATAATCATCGATTGAAGTCAGATTATTTTTTAACAATGAAAACATTTGATAATGAATATAAACTTTTAGCTAATTTTTATTTAAAAATTCGTGTTATACGATGATATCAATTAATGTCAAAATTAGTTTCTTCACCTATTTATAATATCAATATATTTTAAATTCAATATTGTAGTGGACGAATAAGATAACGTTTTATGTCAACTAACTGTATCATTAGATAATCAAGTTTGTGATTATAAAAAAAATCGAAGTACTTAGGGTGTACCAAAAGTTCGAATCACGATGTTTAAAATTTTATAAAACAGTAAATATTGAATGCTTTATTATGGGAATATATAGTATAACGTCTCGTCTTTCATAATCTACAGAGCAGCTCTATCTTGGATTTAGTTCTAACATCTTGCTAGACAAAATCTGTAGTACTTATGACCAAGAAAAGATTCTGACAGCATAAAACCAAAATATGAAAAGAAAGAAATATTCGTAGTTTTATTTTATTAAATGCTCAAAATAATCACCATTATTTTCTATACAAAGTTCCATCCTTTCTAATAGTTTATCGAATGTTTTTTTAAACTCGTTTATTGGAATATTCTTCACTATGGTGAAAACTTGCTGAGCCAGCGATTCTTCGTTTGTGTGATCAGCCAAATTCCTCTTGATATAATCATTTAACCAAAAGTCACACGTTGCAAGATCTGATAAATGTGAGATTATTTCAATAACTCCCTCTGTTAAATAATTAACAACATCTCGATGAGTATGAGGACGACCATTACCATGAAGCAGTTTATATTTTGTGCGTGATGATTTTCCTTTTTTTCTTATTTCATTGATAACAGGAATGAGACAATTTTCAATATAGTAGTTGTGATCGATAGTCTTGCCTTTATCTACTTTATGTATAAGAACAGGACCAGTGGGTTTAAAGAATAAGCAAAACAGTGTTCTAGGTTCAAATCTATTCCGACGAACAACGGTCCTTGGTGGTTCATTTTCACCAACCCAGGTAGAATTGCTTAACTTCCGACCAATCTGTCTGTGATAAATCCATGTCTCATCACCAATAATATATCACATAACCGCCATGTTCTGTTTCTGAATTTCTCTAAATTTTGACGACAAATTCTAAATCGTTCTTGTTTTTGTTCGTCAGTAAGTTGAGGAGCAACCCAACGTGATGTAACTTTTCTCATCTTTAGACGATCATGAATAATTCGTTCTATTGTACAACGAGATAAACCAGTCTGAACCGTAATATCATCATAAGTTGAGTGTGGGCCATCTTCGATAACTTGTCGAACGCGCTCAATATTTTCATCTGTAAGTACCGAAATCGGACGACCAGATCGAGGATCATCACTGAAATCTTCTCTTCCTTCACGAAAACGTTTTGCCCATTTTCTGACCATTGGATATGATGGAGCATCAGGTCTCAATGCTTCTGTAAGTTCGTCGAAGATTGTTTTTGAATCTATTTCCAAAATAACTCGAATTCTGATATAGTATCGATTAAATTCATCAGTCATGTTTAATATTATCGTTTTAAAGTTGAAATCAGATTCTATCACGATTTGAAGTCGGATGCGGTACAAATGAGCTGACAGTGAATGACCTCTCATCTATATATACTATCGAAATGTAATATTCTAGAGCATGACGTCATAAAATGTGACGAGAGAAAGTGACCAGTGGAAAATATGGAAAGTTTCAGAATATACCTGAACATTGGACAAGGATTAGTTAAATATTAGCATAGTCGCTAAATTATAGGCTTAGTCTAGCAGAATGTTGGAACTAAATCCAAGATAGAGCTACTCTATAGATTATTAAAGACGAGACGTTATACTATATACTCCCATAATAAAACATTCAATATTTACTGTTTTATAAAATTTTAAACATCGTGATTCGAACTTTTGGCACACCCTAAGTACATTATTGTATTGTTGCTTCCAATCAGCATCTTATTATTAATCGTCAAAACGGATAGATTGCAGCAAAAAAACTATCGAATTCTTACACATTATATAAATTTCAAGGAAGAAATTCTGATTAGAATATTTTTGACATAAGTTTTTCTTTCATAAAAAATAAAAATATTTCATCTATCGAGTACAGAAATAATTTGAATATTTGAAAAACTTCGTTAAAGTGAATTAGTAAGAGGAATTTATTGATTCATATTAAATAAATTGTGTAGAATATCATATTTTATCTCCAAGAGTAGTGTGTGGATGTTGGTAGATGAGGTTGTAGCTAAGTGAGTGGAGGTGATTGTAGACGTGAAGAAAGAGAAAGCCTACATCCATATCCTCGAATTGATGATTCTAACACGATGCTTTTCAGAATTGATCAATTGAAATATCTATCAATCGTTACATTTCTTCATACTCAAGTTGAACTATTTACACGTCAATGATTTTTTGAACATTCCCCGCTATTGATGACGAACAATCATTTCACATATTGAGTAGACAACACCAACATGAATTTATGAGGAAGAACTGCATAGAAATGCAGTTCTTTTTTTCTCATGCCATTTTTAGATAGAGAAGATTTAAATTCTCTTGTTTTTTGAAGAAATCTATTCAAAAGTGAAAATTGCGTTCGTTTAGAGAAGTTCTTCTTGTGGTAGAAACTTCATTCATACCATGCAACACTGCTTTCAATGGTCTCAAAGTACAACTCGTCTAACGGCGTGCCAAAATGGAATTCAGATCATCAAACAATAAAATTTGACTCTGCAGTCAGCAACTCTTTATTGATTGGAACTTCGAGATTTCTCTCAAAAAACAATCGAGTGCTAATTAAAAAATTTTCTGTTAGACATTATTATAATAAAAATAAATCAGAACTAACTGTTGCTTATTGAAAACAATCAAAGAAAACTACTTTCAACAATAAACTGTCTAATAATTCAACAATCAATAGCAAGCATCTTTTGAACAAGCAGATCGATGACACCTGTAAAATTTTTCACGTCAAGTGTTTCAATGAAGGAAGGTAGCATGAAGATTGAAAAGACATCGAAGAAATTTCGAAAAATCCAAGGTTAGGCTTGCACAGTAAATATCGTCAGGTTAAGTCGATGTACATGTCTCGACCATGTCGTTCTAACCGGTAACAACTCCTCGGTTAACTGGAAAATTAACCGTTCGGTACATCGCTGTTAACCACAGTCAACCGATGGTTCTTTATTACTAATCTTCACCCATTCTCACCCCGTAAGTACAATATATAAATGCAATTAAAAGGCGCAATAAAATGTAGACCATCTGATGCACATGCATGGCGAGTCTTTTAACATATATCTGTAAACGAAAAGAGAGCATAGAATGAATAAAAACATCAAGAACCTATTCAAAGCATGAAAAAAAATGTAGCGACCTCAGATTCAAATTCTAGTGTTATGTGTACTTCAAAAAGTGAAGCTGGCGGCAGATTGGTTTTGATGAAACTGTCTAAAAGAATCGACCAGCAGTGTCAGTATACATAAGTTTTTCATAGTTTTTGGGAAGCGCAATATTGAGGAAACCTTAAATGTATCATATTTACCTGTATCATATGCCATCATTTAGAGCTCTTGATAAGTTCTATCTACTCCAAAAAAACAACGTTAGTTCTATGGGAAATAAACACATATCATACAGACAAAGTGTCAGTATACGTGAGTTTTTCATAGCTTTTGGGTACTGAGGTATTGAGGAAATTTCAAACGCAGCATATTTACCCCTACAATTTAGCATAATTTTGTAGCCCATAAAATTCTCTATCGAATGGTATATAATAGTTGAGTTTTTATTTTGACTATGACAAAGATTTTGATTTGCAAAAATTCGAATAGGTCAATATTTGCATAGAAAATAATGATATTTCTTGCTGTAACTCAGTAAATTCTTGACGAATTATTCTCATCTTCGAACTCGACCGAGATATTGATGAGATAATGCTGTGTACAAAATTCCATGACAATCGGATTAGCCTTTCAGGAGTTATCGTGTAAACGGCCGGCCGGACACACTGACAGATTCTATAGTGTACTCACTTTTTGAGTATACAAAAAAGCAAGGCTGATTGATGAGAGATTGATTTTGACCAAACTGTCTAAAACCAGTCATGATAGCATGTCTAAACATCAAGGTTATCCCAGGAAATCGTTTTTCCTAAAACACAATTTCTATTGGTTACTGGTCAACCAATAGGATTTTGAGGCAAATGGAACTCAAATTCAAGTTCTCCATACCAGAAAACCTTTGTTCAAGTATGATAAAACCTTGAAGCGACGCTTCAATTTTCGATCAATCAGAGCATGATCAAGCGCAGAAGTTATTTCCGATGAAGTATCTGTGCAACAGATGACTAAGCCTTTTTGCTTCGTAATGTTTTATATACCATTTTGTAGCCCGTGAAATTCTCTATCGAAAGGTATATAATAGTTGAGGGTTTTTTTTTATAATGAGTGAAAAAGATTTTTCGAACCTGAGATGGGTCAATGTTTACATAGAAAACCATAGGGAAAAATCACTATTTTTGCTATAACTCAGCAATGGCTAAACGAATCATTCTCATCTTCGAACTCGACCGAGACATTGTTGAGACGATACTGTGTAGAAAATTTCATCAAGATCGCACTCTATTTTCAAAAGTTATCATGTAAACGGCCGGACGGACACACTTACCGATTCTAGAGTGTACTCACTTTTTGAGTACACAATAGTTTGTATCTCTGTATTATGCTTTCAATATTGAAAATATGTTAACTACAAGAAATATGCATCTATCGAAAGAAGAAGTGCAATAAACCTTCTTTATATTAACTGATACACTTTCGGTATTATGGATACATTTACGTTTCATTGTTGTTGTAAATGATAATTACTAAAAAATAATTGAACAAAACTGTCAGTTAGCCACAGTTTACTGTCGATTTTCACAAAAAGAAGACTATATGGACGAATATCTGTTCAAATGATTGCATTTGTGTTCGTATTGATTGGGCAATCAAATGTTTAAAATGAAAGAATCTAAAGAACAATTTTGAAAAATGTTACAACAAAATTGAGTTGATCAATTGTACACCATTTTGTTGTTTAATGCAGCTGATCCAAATAGTTTTTCAGCATTTTTCAGAAAACCTACATTGTTAAGTAACTGTATCTGACATTTAATCAATGATCAACTGAATGTGACTGAAAATTTTATAATTCGACGAACTTAAATTGAATGATTATTCAAAGGTAATGATGCAAAATCATGATTCTTCTCGAAAAATATTTGGATATTACCATCGAGTTACGACACAAGTTTTACGATCGATAAACATTTAAAACGGAGTTTGAGAGGTAAAAAATTTTGTTCACGAACAAATCGCTGAATTATTAAAAGCCTAGTGTGCTCATCGTAACAATGAATCAAAATCGAAATAAAATTCTATTCATCAATGTTCAATGTCAATAAAATTTTCTTTGGATTGAAACCATACGACTTATTGTTCAATGAGATAATTAACTTTGGCAAGAAATGTTGTTTTACAAGTATCTTTTATTAAGGCAAAAGAGTCTTTTTCTCGTCTGATCTGAGATAAATCAAGATTCGAGTTTTGTTTTCAACTCGAAAATATTTCATCTAACCTGATTGATCTTGCTCTGTTTCTCTCATTGAAAAGTAGTCAATATTACGTTCTTTCTTGATCTTGAACATCGAATCGATTCTGTTGTCATTTCATTTGCAAAACATTTGTTTAATCTACATAATGAAGACATGACAATTATAAATATTGACTTAACAATCATCATCATAGATGCATTTTAAGTTTCTCTCAAGTAATTATTAGAGTAATTAAATCAAATGTGTTCATTTAGCTGATTTGTTAGATTTCTGTATATCGTTTGGAAAACATTTTATATGAACCACACGATATAACACTAGACTGCAAATATGCAGTTCAAGCGCCACAAATTTTACACTCGCGTAAAGTTGTTTCTGGTTTTGACAGCATAAATAATTTACTCCCTACTAGCGAAACTCAACGTTTCCACAATTATCTTTTCCATCACTAACGTGTAAATTGACGTTCTTTTCAACGCTAAAGTAGCCCGTATCATGTACATCATTACTTTTCCCTCTCCAACGTATCGGCAGAAGAACGAAAAAAACATCATTTTTTTTCTACGTAGAAAAGCGAAATAGAGAGAATGGTGACGTGTCAATCCGACTTGAGGTCAAAAAAGCCTTTTTTGTGTTCTCCACAACAAGAGAGAAAAGATAGAAGGTTGTCTACAAATGACCCTTTTCCTTTTATTCCGCGCTATCAGATTCACACTTTTCTTTCACTCTCACGTAAACATCTTAGGCCACATTGAGGTTTAGATAAAATTAAACCGAGTTTCTAGTAATAACATGTAATACAAATCTAAGAGCACAAAATGTTGATTTATGTTTATTTTCGATAGAAAGATGCTGAAAGAAAATATTTCTTTTTACCAAAATGTAGAATTTTTTTCCTCTTTCAAATCTTATATGACTTATTGTTGTTACATCTTCATAAAGGAAACGACGCAACTGAAAAGAAAAGTATTCCTGGAAAAAATCCGTACGTTTTCTATAAAAGAACTACACAAAATGTCAATCCTGATATATTTTCGATAAACACGTTTTGGGAGAACTACTTTTTTTTTTCAGTTGGTAAGACATTTTATCCTCTTTCAAACAGTATATGGTTTATATTTATCACACATGCATGACTATAATGAGACGGCACAAAAAAAAAGAAACACTCGTGCACTAAATTTGTAACTTTTATATAAATTCGTCAAAAAGATCTTATTAGAGAACATTTAATTCGATTTTTATGAACTCGTTTTACAAGAGATTTTTATCGAATTCATATAAAAATTACAAATTCATTATTTTCATAGTTCATTTCGTTTAGGAATGTTTGACAAATATAAATCATATACTGTTCGCAAGAGGAGAAAGAGCTCTATCGTTTAAAAAAAAATATTTTTTTTCCAGGTGAGTTCGTTAGTGTATTCAATTGAAATCTATTAGTTTGTCCTAACAAGCTCCGACTAAAAAGAAGAGAAAGAATCTTTTAGTTGATGCTTCTGAAGTCATATTTTTTATCAATGTTTATTTGTTTCCGAATGCAAAGTGATTCATAGATGGTAACTTACGTAAAGTACAAGTTTTGTTGATTTATTTTCTCATCCGAAAAAACAATGAAGGAGTTTTTTTAACTTATGTATTTTCTGCAGAAGAATAATAGCTGCTTTCTCTTAGAATTTAATATTCCAACAATTAAAAATTTTACTTCGCTTGTTCATAAAAATACATTCGAAAATCGTTTTCCGATATCGACATAAAAGAAGTCATGTACGGATAGATTACAGTATGAATAAGTGAAAAACAATACTCTGTCTAATAAAAAGAAAATTTGCATCCTATATTTACTTGATAGAAATGAAATAAAAGAAAATTATTTCGTATTTTTTTTCCTAATGGACAACAAATTTCATCGAAGTTTAATTTTTTCTGTAACATATACCTCAGTTTCAAAATTTGTTACCAATTTTATTTTATATTTAAGAAGGTTTTTCGAAAGCAATAAATAAGATTGTTTCTAAAATTAATTCATATTCTCAATCGATGTTGGTCGTAAAAAAATTGAACACAGATCTATCAGAATGTCAAATTTGTGGTGTTCCAGCTTCACATGTGCATTTTGGTGTTCTTTCATGTGCATCATGTAAAATCTTCTTCAAACGAAATGCTGAATTTGAACAAGTCAGTCAAAAATTTTTAAATTTTTCTTCTCTTATCAAATGAACTCATTTAGGGACATTTCAAATGTCGATATGATGATGATTGTGAAGTGAATATTAATAATCGTCATATTTGTTCGGCTTGTCGATTGAAGAAATGTTTTTCCAGTGGAATGCGAACCGAATTCTTCCGATTTTCAGGAAAAAGAAAAATTAATTCAATAATATCAAACAATCGAGATCAACCAAAACAGGTTATATTCTCTCTTCGCTTTTGAGTACTCGCGGAAATCACGAAGTTTTTTTCTCCTGAAAGAAAAACGATTTCCCGATGATATTTTATCTCTAACATAAAGATTTTAAAAATAAACCATCTGTTGATTTCGTTTTAGTTAACAACATGGAATCTTTTACAATCGGACAAGTCATTATTGAATTCTAATCAATGGACACTTCTTTCAAATTTAATTCATAGTTATGATGCATCAAAACTTCTCGCCATTGCTCAGCGTTTAATGAATGAAAATAATATTTTGCAATCCGTTGAGATGAGCAATCCGATATTGATGGAAGAATTTGTCAAAGGAGCGTACGAAACATCAGGAACATATCTTCGTTCCAATAGGGATCTTTTAATTTTATCATCAGAAAATCGATCCGAATTTCTTCGTGGTGCAGCTGAACATGTCCATTGTTTAAGTTCAATTTTTGTTTTGAATCAATCTCAACTCTACATTCATCAACCATTCTTAAACGCTTGTAGACGTCTCTATGGAGAACAATCAGTGGGTATGGCTCATCATGTTATGAAACATATTGATCCTGATGTTGTACTCGTCAAGTTGGCTCTTTCATTATTCGCTTTTTCCTTTAGTGTTTTAATATTTTCACCATATGTTACAATGCAACAGAATAATTCTAGTTTAATCTTTCACATTCAAAATACCTATGCCGAAGTGACATGGAAATATCTTATCTACAAATATGGTTATTATCAAGCGATTATTCGATTTACTAATATAATTCAATGTCTTCTGGCTGCTACGGATACAGTGTCTAGATCACAAAACATAGAAATCCATACCAATACTATGGAATCACTTGTTGAACAAACTGAAATTTCATTCATCTTGGAAGATACTGAAAGTATAGATTCAAATAGTACATAATCTTTTTTTGCTTCAATAATACAATTGTTTATTAGTTCTGTTTCACGCATCTATTAGAAAATAAAATGAATTTAGTTCTTGTCAGTTTATTACGCGACAAATTTTGTTGAAACAAAAACATAACAAAACATGTGGAATTCACACTAAGAGATATTTTGTCAATTTATCTTGTTCAATATGACTTATGAAGAAATCTCTTCAGCTATTCACGTCAGTTTTCAATGCTTTTTTTGCTCTTTAGATATTACACAATATTCTAATAAAAGTACATAAAAGATTCGAGTTCCTATTATGAATTGCCTATGTTATCAAATTTTTAATTGAAACATTGTGCATATAGAGAACTTAAGTTCCATAAAAAAATTCACAAGTTTGGTAAAAGTCTCTTTGAGATATGAGACTTTCAAGATATAAATCTTTTCCTATGCTTCATATCTTGAAGAGACTTTATTCAAAGCTCCTGAATTTTATTAAGATATCCAAATCGCTTTAGGGTGTTTATTAGAACACTACGTCAGTAGCGTAGCCAAGGGAGGGGCAAATGGGCAATTGCTCATTTTATTTGGAGATTTGCCCATTGTAATTTTTATGAGTAAGTTTTTGCCGATTGAAATTTCTCTTTTTCAGAGTTGTTTATTCATTTTTGAATTAGATAATAACTGTACTACTTTTCTTTCGTCTGTATCAGACATGCACTCCTTGCTTATTCTTTCTATGAAAAATTAAGAAAAGAAGAAGAAAACAATCGTTTCTGCTATTTTGATGAGGGTTGCCAGATGAAAACTTAAAAATCAGAAGTTCTTGTTTTCAAAATTAGAAAAAAATTAGAATTTTTTTTTCCAAAATCGGAAACTATTCAGAAAGGGTAACTTTTTGCAAACTAAGGGTTATCCTGTTGACATACTTGCACAAAATGCTTCCCTTTTTTTTATCAACTCATATTTTATTCCCTCGACTGCAGGGAGGGTCATATGAAAAAAAAAAAGTTTGTGTGTGTGTGGCTTTTTGTCAAGGTCAAAAAAGCATCAAAGATGAATTTTTTTTATAAAGGTTGACGAAAGTAAATTGGGGTCGGGGAATTCGAATCTTACGTTAGTTTTTCAAAATTTTGAATTCAGTTTTTTAGGTCAAGGAAAGGGTTTTTTGAGAAAATAACGGTATTTTGTAACGGTTGACGAAAGTACATCAAGGTCTGAGAATCCGAATCTGAGGTCAGCTTCTTGAAATTTCGAATTGAATTTTTTTTGTTCAGGAGACAAGGTTTTTTGAGAAAATAATTTTTTTCTCGAGTGTAGGAAGGGTTATCGGCTTGTCCAAACGTAACGCTGTTACGTTTTTGACACAGTTTTTTTCGATTATCTCGGAAACGGTGAGAGCTAAATAGATCATTCAAACGCCATTCGACACAGCTCGTCTTACTCTATTTATGCTATAAAAATGAAAATTTTTGCTTGAATTCTCGAACTTTTAGAAAGATTTTTCTATCGCGTAACACTGTTACATAAAAAGACCCTCACTTTGGAGTGCTCGCGCTTAAACCTTAATTTCCTGCGAATGTTTCCGCCTAAATAAAATGCTCTCAGCATAACTTTTATAGAGCTTCAAACGGGCTTTTTAATAGTAAAAAGATTTCCCTTCTAATTACTTTTACTCGCATAAAAAAATCAAAAAACGAACGTAACGCTGTTACGTTTTTCGTAACGCTGTTACACTTTTTTTTGGTAAATTGCTATATGCTCTTTATTTGATCTGTATTTGTCGCAATCAGTTATTTTAACTTCGAAAGAACCGTTTCTATTGCCTTTACTACTAAAGATTACGCTGATCTATACAAACAACGTTGTTGGACCTCGATCAAATTTAAAATTTCTGCTGCAGCAAACCATACTTCTGTCATAGTTTCTAAACTTTACACGGNCAAAAGTCACACGGTGCGAGATCTGGTGAATATGGTGGATGTGGAATGATTTCGATTCCTTCCTCCATTAAATAATCAATAACATCTGGATGAGTATGAGGAGGACCATTATCATGAAGCAGTTTATATTTTGTGCGTGATGATTTTTCTTCTTTTCTTATTTCATTGATAACAGATATGAGACAATTTTCAATATAGTAGTTGTGATCGATAGTCTTGCCTTTATCTACTTTCTGTATAAGAACAGGACCAGAGGATTTAAAGAATAAGCAAAACAATGTTCTAGGTTCAGATCTATTCTGACGAACAACGGCCCTTGGTGGCTCATTTTCACCAACCCAAGTAGAATTCCTTGACTTCCGACCAATCTGTCTGTGATAAATCCATGTCTCATCACCAGTAATAATATCACATAACCGCCATGTTCCGTTTCTAGATTTCTCTAAATTTTGATGACAAATTCTAAGTCGTTCTTGTTTTTGTTTGTCAGTGATTTGATGGGAAACCCAACGTGATGTAACTCTTCTCATCTTTAGACAATCATGAATAATTCGTTCTATTGCGTCACGAGATAGACAATTCTCAACCGTAATATCATTATAAGTTGAGTGTGGGTCATCTTCGATAACTTGTCGAACGAGTTCAATATTTTCATCTGTAAGTACCTAAATCGGACGATCAGATCGAGGATCATCACTGACATCTTCTCTTCCTTCACGAAAACGTTTCGCCCATCTTCTGACTGTTAGATATGACGGAGCATCAGGTCCCAATGCTTCTGTAAGCTCGTTTTAGATTGTTTTTGAATCTATTACCAAAATAGCTCGAATTCTGATATAGTATCCATTAAATTCATCAGTCATGTTTAATAGCTTGCTTTACAGTTGAAATCAGATTCTATCACGATTTGAAGTCGGGTGCGGTACAAATGAGCTGACAGTGAACGACCTCTAATCTATATATACTATCGAAATGTAATATTCTAGAACATGACGTCATAAAATGTGACGAGAGAGAGTGACCAATGAAAAATATGGAAAGTTTCAGAATATACCTGAACATAGGAAAAGGATTAGTTAAATATTAGCATAGTTGCTAAATTATATACTTAGTCTAGAAGAATGTTAGAACTAAATCCAAGATAGAGCTGCTATATAGACTATTAAAGACGAGACGTTATACTATGTATTCCCATAATAAAACATTCAATATTTACTGTCTTATAAAATTTTAAACATCGTGATCAGAACTTTTGGTACACCCTAAGTAACATTTTTTGAAAATATTCAATAGCTAAATCATATTTTTTACTTTGTTGATAACACCATCCTAACTCAAAATAAATATCAATTAGTTGTTGTTTGTTATCATTTGACTGATCATCTTCTAATATTTTTAAAGCTATTTGAAAATGATGAATAAATAAATCGCTGTCTTTTTGCATTTTATAACAGCAGCCAATTTTATAATGAAATTGAGCAGTTTCTATGGAAGATTGTTGATCATTATCTAATTGTAAAATATGTAAACCTTTTTCATAACAATCAATAGCTAAATCATATTGGTGATTTTTATAATATGAATCGGCAACAATTTCATACATATATATACTTGCATCTGAATCATCTACATCAACAGAACATTGTTTTTCAATTTCTACACATTTTGTATAATAAATAAGAGCTAAATCATATTTTTCTAACTCAATGTAACAATTTGCAATAGTATAATTGAAATTAAATATTTCTTGTTCGTATTGATTTTTATTAAGTCTTTTAATAAAAAATAAACCTTCGATTTGATTTTCAATAGCTAAATTATATTCTTTTAATTGATGATATAATCTGCCAATACATTCATAGCATTCAATAAATGTTTCAATAACAAAATCTGTTAAATTATTATTATTATCAAACGTTTGAAAGTTTTTTAATGTTAATTGGTATTGATTAACAGCCAAATCATATTTTTCATCTTTTTCATATAACCATGCAATTCGTGTGAATAAAAAGATAGTTATTTTTTGTTTGTCATAATTATTTGCTTTTATTTCAATATCTTTTAACATATATTTAAATTGTTGAATACCTAATGAAAATTTTTTCGTTTTTAAATATATTACTGATATATTGATTATGATTCGATGTAAATCATCATAAACTAAAACATCATTTAAAAATACATATTTTTCATAAAAATTTGATAAGATTTTTATATTTTTTTCAAAATTTTCTTCGTTTTCTTCATTTATCAGATAAGTTATACTCGATATATATTTTGAACATGCCGTTTTCATCATTTCATAATTATTATATTCTATTGATTTAATCATCAATTTTTCGTAATATTCAACACTCAAATTAAATTTTCGTTGTTCATCAAAAATTTCACCCAAAAGTATATATGAAACTTCAATGTCTTTTATATTTAATGATGTTTCACTAATAGTTAAGGATAAATTAGCGTGCTCAAGTGCAAAGTCATATTGGTTTAATATATGATAACAACATGCAAGACTACCATGTAATATACAGAGGTCTTCATCATTTTGATTGGATTGTTTATTTTTTAATACTTCTAAGAAGTGATTGAGCGCTAATTGGTATTTTCCAGTTAAAAAATAAACTTCACCGAGACTATCACATGTTCTTATTCGTATTGGATGAGAGTCTGAATAAATATTCTTTTGATAGACTAAAGATTTTTCATAACATTCAATAGCCATATCATTATTTGTTTGGTTTTGAAAAATATTTCCCATAAGATAATATGTTTCAGCAAGTACAATAGAATTTTTTGTTTCATGAAATTTTTCTAGTGATTGTTGACAATGTGTTAAAGCATCGGAATAATTCATTTGTTTAAAATAACATCGACTTATACATAAATGAAGTGCACCAAGTAATTGAGAATTACAGTTTATTGGTAGATTTTGAAATGCTTCTTGAATATAACCAAATGCTAATTGAACTTGTTCTGTACTTAAATATATTAAACTTAATCGTAATAACCTAACAGCTCTTGGCCCGGAATAACTATTTTGA